AAAAAGAGATCAGAACAAATAGCAGTGTCTATTTTTTAAAGGTTTGAAAGTACACGGGGTGGGCTCCGGAGTCAGGCTATGTGAGGGGCCCATATTTCCTATTACTCCTGGTCAAGGAGACAAAGTTAGTTAACGCCTCCCTGGTTAGGATCCCCATAAAAGAAACAAGAATGACTTACGGATGGTGGTGATATTGGGGAGACAATGTGTTGATTTCAGAAACGTCATGGAAAGAAACATTCTGAGTGATATTAATAACTTGCGGAAATTATGTAATTTCAGAAGGCCACCCTGGGGGCAGTCCAAAATCTATTTTTAGAATCAGACCTGTCAGACACATTTACACGAAACTAACTTCCTAACTTATCAAAGATAGAAACCTTGGAACTATATGCTGGATATGTAATATCCAAAAAAACATATAATGGCTGTTTTCGAACTAAATGTTTACTTTATCGGTGGCACGAGTAATAATTCGACAAAAATCTCAAATAGAAATTATTAAAATAGAGTTCCCTCCTCATACTATATTCAACCTGATATAAACTATGCAAAAGATCAAGAATAAAATTCTGTAATAGGACAGTTACTAGGAAGATTCAACACAGTTGCAAAGCTACCATTTTCAATGAGCTCCTTTTAAATTCTGCTATGACTAGTATACAAAGGTCTTGGGGTAATGAGGGTCAAAGTGATCTTTGTGTGATTCACTGATATAAAAAATCTTTATGAAATCTAATTATGTGCAAAAGGAAGCTACATACTTCATTTTGTACTAGATTCTTCAGAAAAATCTTAAGTTCAAACATAAAATCTCTGAAGTCATTGAGTTTGGAAGAAGAGAGATGTGCTCATTAGGGTAAATCTGGTTACCTGAGGATGACTGATCAGCATAATTAATGGTCTTTGGGGAACAAGAGGAAATATTTGAATCAGAAAAAAAGTATGCTGTCTTGTATATGTGCTTGATTTAAAAGGAAGATGTAAGATATTACTTAGTTCCTAGATATGAACTTGATAAATATTAATATCATTGTTAGTGAGTTTGTAAGAGATGATATGGGCTTCTTTGAAAATTCAGAATAGTAATCTAGAATGATGCCATTAAAGAGTATTTATTAATATATAGTGAGATTTGATGCAACATGCCCAAGTTGACTGCATGGAATTGGATAGGTTGGTAGAGTTGTAAGTACTTCTATTCTGTAGGCATAATAAAGAAGACAGCAGTAGGGGTAGCAAAAGGTCAACTAGTAGGCAAAAAACTGCATGTGAAGAGGATGACAAGGAGCAGTAGATAACAATAGTCCAGGAGGAGGTCCTTTTTTTAAACTGAAGTATAGTCTATTTACAGTGTTAGTTTCTGGTATACAGCATAGTGATTCAGTTATACATACATATATATATTATTTTTCATATTCTTTTCCATTATAGGTTATTACAAGATACTGAATGCAGTTCCCTGTGGTATACAGTAGGACCTTTTTGTTTATCTATTTTTATATACAGTAACGTGTATCTGCTAATTCCAAGCTCCTAATTTATCCTTCTTCCTCCTCCCCTTTGGTAACCATGTTTGTTTTCTACGTCTGTGGGTCTGTTTGTGTTTTGTAAATAAGTTCATTTGTATCATTTTTTAGATTCCTCATATAAGTGATATTATCTGATATTTGTCTTTCTCTGTCTGAATTACTTCACTTAGTATGGTAATCTCTAGGTCCATCCATGTTGCGGCATTATTTCACTCTTTTTTATGGCTGAGTGATATTTCTGTGTGTGT